ACACACACACACACACACACACACACACACACACACACACCTACTATGTCTCTCCATTCTTGTGGGGACTTTCCATAGACTTCCATTCATTTTTTTGACATTTTATATCCTAACCCTGACCACAAACCCTAAGACTAACCTCAAAGGTACCTACCTGACCCTAAAACTAACCTAAACTTAATTCACACCTTGGTCCTAAACCCAGAATCACTGTGTGGCTCTGAATTCAAATCAGCTTCCGACRTTGTGGGGACCAGGCTTTGGTCCCCACAAGGAGCATCCGGTCCCCACAAGGCTGCATTTTCCTGAAAAATTATCCCCACCAAGTAGCAAGAATAAGGAAACACACACACACACACACATGCGCGAGCGCGCATACACACACATAATGTCTTGCTTGGGTCAAATAAGACCTACAAAATTAATTTAAAAAAAAGTGTATTTGACAAACATTTTTATTGTGGCTGCAGTTTGCAACATTAGATAATAGAGAGAAATATATAACAGGCATATAACAGAGATGCAGAATCAGTTGTCAATCACAATGAGCTGCCGCAATTGTGTTAAGGAACTAAATATAAAAAAGGAAACTAAATAAATCAATAAAAGCAAGAATATGGATTTAATTTATGTAGAATGTAAAAAAAAATAAGGGGAAGGAAAAAAGTGGCAGCATTGGCTTTGTTTTCTCTCTTTTTCATAAATAAAAAAAATTTACGGACTCCTTTTTAGTTAGCTTCACTGCACAGTCACATTTAGTTCATGAAAAAAGAGCAAGGCCAGCCGCCAAATTAACAAAACCTCAATAAATAAATAAAAAATAAAAAATAAATCCAAATGTTTGAATTGGATTTACTTAAATAAATTATGTCAACAGGTTCTACTCAACTGAACTGTGTAAATCTAACACAATTACTTTACATTCACTTATAAAGTAAATATAAAAATCACTTTAGATTTACTCAACTTAGTTGAGTAGAACCTGTTGACATATATTATTTAAGTAAATCCAACGCAAATGTTTTTTATTAGGTTTTTGTGTGTGTGTGTGTGTGTGTGTGTGTGTGTGTGATCAATTCAGTTTTATGCACACAGACATACGTACAGTATGGGATATTTTGACATAAAAGGCAATTTTGTTTCTTCATTGTGACCGCAATTTTGGTAATAAAGTAAAAATAAAAAAAAGTCAAATAAAAAATTTTTTAACTCAAAAGGAAAAATTTAAAGTACAGCGGCAAGTGTCACTGAGTTTGAGAAGTTGAGTTCCTTGTTTCCTGTTTGCCTTCAGTTTATGGGCTCTCCCAGCATTGTTTCCCTGTAGAGTGGAGGGAGAGCTACAKGTTTGAAAACATCAACATGAAGTGTTTAAATGTGTYCTTCATCCRACAGAGACAAAGTGTTGGAGTCAAATCCTTCAGACTGACAGCAAAGATGCAGTGGAATCTGATTCTRCTCTTTCTGATGGGTAAGTTCCTGTAAAACACAAGAAAGTCCCTGTTTACACTTACAGGAGATGTTCATGTGGAGTCCCAGCACAGCTCAGCTCATCAGATCAGCTCACACAAATCAATTGAATGACAAAATTGTTTCGGTACATGTATTTTGATTAAATAATGAATTGAGTAACAATTTTTTCCCCAGGTCATTGTTGTTTCATCACATGTCAGCTCTATCACTACATTAAGGAGAATAAAAACTGGACTGAAGCTCAGCAGTTCTGCAGAAAGTATCACTCTGACCTGGCCACAGTGTCCAACATGACAGACATGAAGAGAATCCTYAACATATCAGCAGAGAATAAAATTGAAGCTTGGATTGGTCTGTATGATCAAACCAATGGCACCAGGACCTGGTWCTGGTCTCTGCCTGGAGTGGAGTTCAAAGAAAATCAGACAAACTGGACTGATAGAGGAAAAGGAAAAGTTGAGAACTGTGGGATTTTGAAAAATCTCAAA